TATTTTTCTCCATCCGTCTATCCGTTTTCTGCCACGTATCCGGGGTAGGGTCGCGGGGGCAGCAGCCTAAGCAGAGAGACCCAGACTTCCCTCTCCCCAGCCACGTGGGCCAGCTCCTCTGGGGGAATCTCAAAGTGTTCCCAGGCCAGCTGAGAAACATAGACCCTCCAGCGTATCCTGGGTCTTCCTCTGGGCTTCCTCCCAGTGGAATGTGCCTGGAACACCTCACCAGGGAGGCGTCCAGGAGGCATCCTAACCAGATGAACCACCTCAACTGGCTCCTCTCGATGTGGAGGAGCAGCGGCTCTACTCTGAGTCCCTCCTGGATGACTGAGCTTCTCACCCTATCTCTAAAAGAGAGCCCAGACACCCTGCGAAGGAAACATTTTGGCTACTTGTATCCGCGATCTCGTTCTTTCGGTCACTACCCAAAGTTCGTGACCATAGATGAGGGTAGGAACGTAGGCCGACCGGTAAACCGAGAGCGTCGCCTTTTGGCTCAGCTCTCGCTTCACCACGACAGACCAATACAGCGCCCGCATCACTGCAGACGCAGCACCAATCCGCCTGTCGATCTCCCGCTCCATTCTTCCCTCATTCGTGAACAAGACCTCGAGATACTTAAACTCCTCCACTTGGGGAAGGACCTCCTCCCCGACCCGGAGAAGGCAGCCTACCCTTTTCCAGCTCAAGACCATGGTCTTGGATTTGGAGGCACGATCCTCATCCCGGCCGCTTCACACTCTGCTGCGAACCGCTCCAGTAAGAGCTGGAGATCACGATCTGATGAAGCCAATAGGACCACATCATCCGCAAAAAGCAGAAACGTGAGCCCAAGGTCACCAAAAATGATCCCCTCAACACCTTGACTGCACCTAGAAATTCTGTCCATAAAAGTTATGAACAGAATCTGTGACAAAGGGCAGCCTTGGTGGAGTCCAACTCTCACTAGAAACGAGTCCAACTTACTACCGGCAATGTGGACCAAACTCTGGCACCGGTTGTACAGGGACCTAACAGCCCATATCAAAGGGCCTGGTACCCCCCACAGGAGTCCCAGAGGGACACAGTCGAATGCCTCCTCCAAGTCCACAAATTTAATCATAAATTTAAAGTTTACCATTGATTTTCATTGCACAGTATAACTGCTTGTATGCTGGGCATATGACAATAAAACTCTTGAATCRATATWAAAACTATTTTCATATTAGGTAACAAACAACCATGAACCATAAATTTTGGAAACTGGTAAACTAAGTGTTTCAAAATATTCTGTAAATATCTTTCTGTAATTTGGGTTTTTGAAAAGTTAAGGATGTCCCAACAGGTCAACTGTTATTTCCTGTATTTTGCTGTTATCCAGGACCTTTTGTGACTACAGTTGGYCTAAAATGCTTCAGCCCATCATTTAATGCAAAGATGGAATCATTGTGCATCTCCCTGATACTGGGAGTCTGTGCATAAAGATTGACTTTGAAGGGAAACTGGTTTGGTTTAATTTTTTACTAAGTCGGGGTCAAACTTCTTCTCTGTTTACATTTATTCCAAGGGTTTTTAAGGTTTTGATCATTTAAATTGTGTCCACGAGTTAGCCTTTTTGTCTTAGTTTATTTTTACTATTTTTAATTTAGAGCACATTGAATAGGAGCAACAAAAACTTGACTTAAAAGGTAACTCTTAGTGCCAAATGCAAACCTTATTCTACTTTCAGGGGTCATATCTCCAAAGGTGATCAMCTTCCAGGACAGTGAGTTGAGCACTGAGCTTCAAAGTGCCATGACCCAGTCAGGCCAGGAGGTCAAAGCTCAGCGAAGTCGAACCCTGAGCAGAGACTATGACGAGGCGACGACAGGAGGTGGAGGGCCGCCGAAGAAGGAGGCACGGACTGTGAGGCAGCAGAGCAGCCAGGGAAGCAGCTCATCCCACAGAGGCAGTATGTCCTCCCAAGGCAAACACCGTCACTCCCACTCCCAGCCCGCACCTCCCTACACACCTCCTCATACACCTACCAAGACCAGGACTTYGTCTTCCTCCTCCACCTCCTCCGCTCAGAGCACAGCTTCCCCTCAGGCTAAACCCAGGTCGTCTCCTCAGCTAATTCAGGGAGAGCAACCTCAGTCACCCCACTCACATCCCTCTCAGTCTCCAACCCAGCGTGGAGCTCCATGTCAGCTGCCCCAACAGCAGCAGCAGCAGCAGCAGCACCAACCTCAAGCTCAGCTGCAACATCAGACGCACCATCCGCAAACGCCAGTGATGGAGGTCAGGGAGAACCAGCAGCAGGTTCCACACCTCTGTCTGCCCCCTGAGTCTGAACTGGTTGAGGTAGAAGGWGCAGACCCATCCGCTCTCAAGAAGAAGCATACCCACAGCCTCAACCGATACGCCGTCTCAGATGGGGAGTGTGATGAGAGAGCAGGTGGAGAAGGAGGAGGTGGAGAGGGTGGAGCAGAAAGAGAAGTAGAGGTAGCAGTGTGTCAGCCTACCACTGTTGTGAGAGCAGAGGGAGTCAAGTACGCCACAGTGGCGGCCCGTGTGAGCCGAAGCCACTCCGTCCGCAACCAGGAAAAGACGGCCAGCCGCAGCCACACCCAGTCCCTTGCTCTGCGTCAGAAGAAAAAAGGTCCACCGCCGCCACCGCCCAAGCGCTCCAGCTCTGCTATCTCCAGCTCCAACTCCAACCTGACAGAGACCAACACACAGCAGCAGATGCTCACCACCACGGGGGGCATGCTGGATGTGCCCTACCACCAACAGAGGCGAGCTAGTGACCTGGGGATGTCTGTGGAGGCAGCTGCTGTGGAGACAAACAGTGTGGGTAGTGTGCGGAGCATAGCCGCCATGTTAGAGATGTCTTCTATAGGGGGTGGAGCCAAAGGCATGGCACTGCAGAAGAACTTCTTGCAGGTACCATTTATACATCYACAGTACCTGTCTTGTAGTTCTGTAATAGAGGTGTTACATAAAGAAAATATGGAAAACTCCTTTTGTGCTCTTTAGGTKGGAAAAACACGTGATGCCATTGGTTTGGATGGAGAGGTGGTGAACCGACGGCGGACCATCAGTGGCCCCCTAACCGAGCTGGTGGAGGCAGCCAGGCGTGAGCAGCCTGACTATGTCCCATTGTCTGACCAGCTCGAATCTTCCCCTCCCCTTGTAAACTCCCCTTCACCTCACCCACCATCCTCCCCTCTCCCCAACTCGGGAGGCAGCGGCAGCTCATCAGAGAACCTTCCGTTTGCAGAAGAGGGAAGTCTTACCATCCGTCGTCAGGGTCGAGGAGAAGGACAAGGACAGGTAACTATCTATATATTTGTATATATCAATGTTTGTCCATATATCTGTCAATCTATCCTATATACTGTTGGTACAGTCACAGTCAAAAGTTTCCATTCACTCATCATGAGCATGACTCATTGTAGCTTGGGGCTTTTATTGATTTAGGTTGAATAATTTTACAATGTACAACAAAACATTTTTTTAAAACCAGAATTGTGTGCAAGAGTGTGTTCTAACTATTGTGGGATCACACTTCTCACCCTTCCCTGGAAAGTTTACTTCAGGTTGTTGGGAGGCAGGCTCCGATCGATCATTGAAMCTCGAACCATCCTGGTCGTGGAACAGTGGACCAGATCTTTACCAATACGGAGTAGCTAAGGGGGTCGTGGGAGTTTGCCTYTCTAGTCTACAAGTATTTTGTGGACCTGGAGAAGGTTTATGACTGTGTTCCCCAAGTCATTCTGTGGGAGGTGCTGCAAGAGTATAGAGTGGGTGGCGATCCAGTCCCTGTGTAACCAAAGCAGGAGCTGTGCCCACATTCTTGGCGCTTTGGGAAGGCTGATCTAGAAGCTTGTTATTGGTCTGTTTTATCTAATCAAAAGCCAATTCTGTTGTGTGTTTAAGATCAGAACAACCAATTGTGTTCATATTTCAATGACAATGGTGAAGTTGAAGAACAATACCACAGCATGATGCCACCACCGTCATGGCTGATTTGTTCTTATTTTTGAAAATCTCACCATGATTCCTACAAACACATTTTTTGCATTTGTGGCCAAATAGCTCAATCTGTCTGACTATAAAACATCTTCCAGAAGGTAGTTGGTTTGACCAATTGCGCAGCTACAAATTTCAGTCAAACTTGAAGGTGTCATTTTTGGAGCCGTGGCTTTGTTCTTGGTACCCACTCAGAGGTTCATGGAGAAAAAGAAAACTGRCTTCACTGTGAACAGTGACAGTAGTTTCCAGTAGTTTCCAATCTATGGCAGGCTCAGACTTGATGGCTTCTGTATCGTTCCTGAAAATTATAACTATTTTCCTATGTGCATTAAAGTTGTGTATTGTTTAGTCATTCCCCTCTGGAAAAACAACAGACCAAATAAAAGAAAGATAAGTAGGTCCTCTGRACGGGTTCTTCTTTAGTGAAACATTTTGTCTCTCCTCTGAGAGACTTCTTCAGTCTGATGAGTTGCATGTGAACTCAGACTTATAAGCACTGCCTCCACATGGACAAACAGGTTGGTCACATGCAGAAGAGGACCATCAGTCAAACAATTAGTGCCTTGATTGGCTCTATTGTTCATAGAGGGTCATGTGTCCCATCACCTGACTGTCGTTGGGGCCCTGATCGCACATTTTGCTCACAGGGGGCTGAGTCATACTTGCAATAACAGCATTGTAGGAGGAGGACAACTGGACATGAAGGCCTCCACCTCTGTTTAATGGTGAATGGTTTTTCTTCACTAAGATGGCTTCCATTACTCCACTCTCAAACCARCGTTCCTCTATCAAGGATGAGAACATCTTCATCCCTGAAAGAGTGACCACTGGCCTGTAGATGAGTGTAAACTGCAGAGTCCTGGCCTGATGATGTTGTTCATCTGTGCTGGCTCATTCTTTTGACCAAYGGCTGTTTTATTTCTCCAGGCACACAACCCTCTATAGAGCCAATCAAGGCACTAACGACCTATTGTTTGGCTGATGGTCCTCTTCTGCATGTGACCAACCTATTTGTCCATGTGGAGGCAGTGCTTAAAAGGCTGAGTTCACCTGAAACTCCTCAGACTGAAGAAATCTCTCAGAGGAGAAACAAAACGTTTCATTAAAGAAGAACTCATCTAGAGGACCTACTTATTTTTTTTCTACCTGGATTACTGAGATGCATCAGGACAACAGATCAAATATATAATCAAAAGCYCCAAATTAATATGACATTTATGGCCATGATGAGTGTATTGTAAACTTCTGACCACAGCTGAATCTTATATGTGTATGTAATGTGCTAAAGTTAAATGTGCTTTAATGTATGGCAAACCCATAGTGAAGCTKTTGCGCCTATTAAGCTTTATTTGTTGCTTCCATTTATCTATGTCACTGTTTTGACTGTTTGTGCAACAATGACCTTTTATCATGAATGTATGAACTTTGCGTTAGTGTGTATTTTGTGTCTGTCTGCAGGGTGACGGCGACGCTCCCCAGGGAGACACCGGTTACACCCAGGAGGAAATGGCTGAACCTACAGCAGTCCTGAAACGACGAGCCCGCATTTCGAAGTCCCACCCCAATGGCTCGGACTTCACCCTCCAGGAGTCGTCCACAGTCAAACGGCGACCCAAGAGTCGCGACAAGGAACCAGAGGGATACGCAGAGCTGGCTGCTGCTAACGGAGAGCCTTTGAACAACGGGCAGCCCAACACTACGCAGCCAGTCCCCTACCAGAACGGCACAGCCACCGTGAAACGTCGCCCGGGGTCTGATGCAGGAGTGACAGAGCAGCCACAACCCCAGCACCAGCCCCAAGTGACTGCCTCTACCCGCAGGGACAGTGTGGACCAGGGAGCTCCAGCTGCAAGTGATGGGGGTCCCATGAGAAAACCAAAACCTCCAGTCTCCCCGAAGCCTGTTGTGGCACAGATAAAAAGACAAGGAGGATCCCAGACACCCCCACAGGCTGTCCCCAATAAGAGAATCCCGCTGCCGGGCCCTGGCACACCTGGAAGTCCAGGTACTCACAGTGTAATATAGTATGTTGGTTAGGGGTTGGCAGTGTAGCCTCAAATATACATATATGTTTATACTGTATATACACATATTTTCAGTAATTATTACATACAGTAATTATATAAAAAGACAGTCTGTAAAAAAACACATTTTATTTGTGACTTTGCTTGCATTTCTTAGTGCAAATAAAGCACGTGGACTTTTTATTTTCTATGAGCAGCTGTACATGATAACGGTATCGGTTCTAAATTTAGTCTGGGGTGATTACAAGAACGTACATGGTTGCTTTTACTCCACTAGATGCAGTTTCGGTGTGAGTGCTAGAAATGTATATGACTTGCTCGGCTTGATRTACATTTGCGTACCAGTCACATAATCTTATATACTGTAAATCAAAATTATTGAGCCAAGTAACGATTTACTCTGAAGCTGGAGCTAAAAGGAAAATTGATAAGTGAAGCCATAAGGACTAGAATGGCCACAGTTAACACCAGAACAAAACTAAACAAAGGTAAACTAACTCAAATGGTTTTAAGGACTATGAAGGCGCCCCCAGCAGCCTGAGAAGACCAAGTGTGATTTTGTTGTTTCAAGGTCCCTAAAACAAAAACGTTGTACTGCAGTAACAAAGACAAAACTTAACTGAATGCAAATACTTAAGTTTTCTACGTTGTTTTRGAGATCAACCTGATTCAAAAGGGACACCACAGTCTTCTGATGCACAAGACTGGCTACAACTCCAACAAGTTTACAGAAACTTGAGTTCAAATCTGAAATGTTTTTTACTGAAACTCAACCCAAACACATAAGTTGAGAGCTACCAGATTGCTCCACGTCTCTGTTTAAAACTTAATAATTAACTATTGGAGACAACCTTGTCTGTCTGTTTGAAAAATATCAATAACCCATAGTTCTCAGTAAGTAATGAATGTACATGTACAACTGATTACCGGTAATTTTGAAGCCAACCCAATTTCTAAATGGCTCCCACAGCCAAGTCACTGTAGAAAAMACAAAAAATGCAGTTAATTTTATAGTGATTTCACAATATTGCACGAGATCGAACAAAAACTTTCTTTTAAGGTTTTACCAAAATGGTTATAACTCCAGTCTGGCAATGAAAGGTGACAGTAATACTCATTATTTCCATGCCTTTAGTCTTTTTATGTTTTTTACACTTGTGTTTGTCATGTSTTTATTTTAAGGAAGCACAGTGCTCACCGTAAGCTTTGCTTCTGGTGATGCAGTTTTTGTTATTTTCTTGTTCTGTGCAGTGGAAGGAAAGAAGATCCCTCCGCCYGTCTCACCTAAACCAGCTCCCCCACCCACAGCACCCAAACCGGCTAAGCTAATTCACTCTATGACCAGCCCCTCCTCCCCGACCTCGGCYTCTGTTCCTGCCAAGCAGCCCTCAGCAGTGGCCCGACAGAGCAGCTCACCGATCTCCTTCCTGCCGTCCAACACGCCCAACACTCCAAACGCAAAGGCGACAAGCCCRTCCCCGCAAAGCCCCCAAACACCGCAAACCCCAACTACGCCGCAGACTCCCCAGACGCCCCAGACTCCTGCCACTCCCAGTCCAACCCCGCCGCCTGTCAAGCCTCCCCGCTCTTCCATCGGGGGCGTGTCAGTGGACAGTGGGATTACAGGGGGAGGAGTCACACCACAAGTCTCTGCAACAGCCGACTTTAACGTGAACTCTTTGGTGCATCAGAAGTTGGAGGAGACGAGCGCGTCGCTGGCTGCAGCTCTGCAGGCAGTCGAGGATAAGATTCTTCGACATGAGGAGTATGAAACACACACACACACACACACACA